ACTTGTCCGAATCTCCTGGGCCCCGCAGGTGCTCGTCCGAAGAAAGCGGAGAGGTCCCTGGGTCAACCAATTGGCTGCTGTCCCAGGGGTCCGGTCTGTTTGGCCCGAAGAGTTTGCCAAGGCCCCTGGGGGAACATGATGGCACAATATATCGGGCAAAGGGGGGCGGTAGCTGGCCTGTCAGACCCGGCGTTCGTCTTCTGCCCAAGCGGCGCGGGGCCCACGGGCCCCAGGGTTGGCGGCCCGCTGGGTTTCCCATTGTTCGCCCACAGGGTTGGAGAAGGCCCCCAGGCGAGCATAATGGGGCAGGACAATGAATGTGGGAGACTTGTCGCGAGCTCCCAGCCCCCCCGAGTGTTCGCCCGAAGGGTGTGGGGCCGCGTTGGCTCCCTCAAAAGGCCGTCTTGGAGCCGTCTAGGCCCGTCTTGAGGGCGCCGTTTGCCGTGATAGGGGCCGTCTTGGTTCGTCGTGGGCCCCTGAGGGGCGCGTCCGTAGGCCGTCCTGGGCCCATCGGGGTCCTTCTTGGCACTATCGTGGGGCTGTCTTGGAGCCGTCTGAGCCGTGAGGGGGCTGCCTTGGAGTCGTCTTGGGCCCCTCCTGTGCGCCTCCTTGGGCCGTCCTGGGCCCAGCAGGGGTCGTGTTGGCACCCTCTTGGGGCTGTCTGGAGCCGTCTTGAGCAGTCGCAGCGCGCCTTGGGCTGTGCTGGGTCCGTCTTGGCCCATCTTGGGGCCTTCCTGGGCGATTCCTCGGACCCTCCTGGGACTTTCTGGGGCCTCTTGGTGCATCGGACCGCCGAAACGGCGGGAAACGCAAAGGGTGTCACAGTGAACAATGAAAGATGAACGATTTTTGCCAGCTGGGGCTCTCTTGCCATCTTGGCCCGTCGTGAGGCCCCGACCGGGCGCGTCCTTGGGCCGTCCTGGGCCCGCCCTCCTGGGACCGTCTTGGAGTCGTCTTGGGCCGTCTTGAGCGCGCCTTGGGCCGTCCTGGGCCCGTCTGGGGCCGTGTTGGCACCCTCGCGGCGAGGAAGCTCGGAGGCGGGCTCGAGGCCTCTGTGGGGCCATTTTGGAGGCTGTTGGTGCCTCTGTTGGGGCCTCGTTTGGGCTCCTTGGGAGCCTCCTGGGGCCTCTTCGGGGGATTCTTGGCGGCCCCTTGGGGCCTCTTGGGGGCCTGTTTGGGCCTCCTGGCGCCCTCTTGGGGCGGAAGGCTCGGATTTTCGGTCCGTGGTCCCCCTCTTGGCCCCCTCTGGGGCCTGCCTTCGGGCCCTCGTGGGCCGTCTTGAGCGTCTCTTGGGTCGTCTTGGGGCCCTCTTGGGCTGTCTTGGGGCGCTCTTGGAGGCCTCTTGGGCCGTTCTGGGGCGCTCTTGGAGGCCTCTTGGGCCGTCTTCGAGCGTCGGAAAGCGGAAAAGGCGAGAAGGCCAAAATCCTTCCAAAACCGTCGTAAAGCGGATGATTTTGGCCGCTCGTGGCCCTCGGGGAATACGCTTGCAGGCCTCTTGTGCCGTCTGGGCGGCCCCTTGGAGCGCTCTTTGGGGGCCTCTTGGGGACTCTGGAGCCTCTCCGGAGCCGCCCGGGGCGTCTTTAAATCGCGCCGCCCAGGGCCGGGGCCTCGGAGGACCCGACCCCCGCCCCTCTCAGACGCGCGTGTGCCTGCAATGTAATAGAGACTAGGGCTGACCCGTGGACTCCGTCCACGGTAAGCTGCCACGAAGTGGCAAGTGCTTTTCGCTCGCCTCCCACATCGCCCCGTAATGGCGGGCGGGCGGGAGACGCCCCCTCGCATCGTGAAAGAATCGAGGCGGAACATGAGAGGCCTCCCACATGTATCGGCGATGCAGCGGCGACGTCGGCGGTGCTTCACCGACGTCTGCGTAAGAAACTCGGGCTACGAATCGAGCCGCATCGGCTCAATCCTACGACCCCATCTACCCTGACCTCATCTTGGAGGCCCGAAAGCATGTTTGGTAATGTTCAGCCCCTGGGGGCCCTCGCAAGGCCCCACGACACAGTGAGCGAAGCAGCTCGGGAAGAGAGAACGGTCCGCGGGAATGAGTCCAGCTGCGTCTTGTGGGCGTTTGGGGGCTAAGGGAGTTTCTGTTCGGGCGTTTTGGGTGTCTCTGGGTCGTGTTGGGGTCTTCGGAGGCTGGCGTAGGCGCCTCTTGGGCCGACGCGGGCTGTCTTGGGCCACTCCTGGGGCCTTTTTGGGTGCCCTTTGGGCCGTCTTGGGCGCCTCCTGGGCCGTCGCGGGGCCGTCCTGGACCGTCGTGGGGCGGCCTCGGGGCACTCTTGGAGCGCCTTGGGGTTCTCTTGGAGGCTTCGTGGACCGTGTTGGAACGACCTCGCGGGGTCCTGGAGCCGTGTTGGGCCGTTCTAGGGACTAGATGATAAGAGCTTGGGAATCCCTCGATCAGCAATGGAGAATCTCGCCCCCCCCCCCCCCCCCTACGACGAAGGCAGGCCGAGGATAAAATCAGATCAGGATGAATCGGGGATCTCTGAAAGCTGGCGGGTCTGGAAGACGCGTTGGGCGCCGCGGCCCAAAGTTAGCGATGCCTTCCTCGTGAGGAGATGCTCGAGGACAGGACGCCAGCCGGATCCGCCGCCAGAGCCTCCGAGCCAGGTTTCGCGGTGCCCTCTATCCTCCTCTTCGTCCTTGCCCCCTCCCTGCTGCTCCTCCTCCTCCTGTTTCTCCTCCTTCTCCTCCTCGTCCTCCTCATCCACCTCCTCCTCCTCCTCCTCCTCCTCCTCCTCCTCTTCCTCCTCCTCCTCCTCCTCCTCCTCCTCCTCCTCCTCCTCCTCCTCCTCCTCCTCCTCCTCCTCCTCCTCCTCCTCCTCCAAGGCGGGATCGGGGCTTGTGCGATGCGGGGCAAGGGCATGGGGTCGATCAGGGGGACATGTTTCTGCGGGTTCTGGCGCCGCTCCTCTGGGGAGCGTCCTCGAAGTGGACCTGTCCTGCTTAGGTATCGCCCTTGGTGCGCGATGAACCACTCTCGCAAGGCGTCGATGCGGACATCCCATATGTTGCAGCTCCCTTTCCCAAGCGGCAGTGAGGCGTCCAACTCCGCAGTGAAACTGGGCGCCAGGAGGCCCCTCGCGTGGTTAGAGCGTTGCCAATGCAGCCACGTCCCCAAGCGTTTCTCGAGTCCGCGAGATCCCGTCTGCTTTGGCAAGGTTTTGGCGCGCTGGAGCCACTGTTTCACCTGAGCTACTCTCTGCGAAAACGTTCTTGTCGCTGGCTGGCGCGCAATGCGCCCAACGGCTGCTGGGCGTCTCGTCGCGTCCGAGCAGATGTGCGCGCAGAGACCCAGCGGCGGGAAGGTCTGGAACATTGGGCCACAAGGTAGGCTAGAACGGAGGGGGCTCGGGGGGGGCACCTCGCGTGGCTATTTTGAACAGCTGGGCCGCTTCAGCCCGCGGGGCTCCGAAAGACGAAAGCCCCGAAATAATGGCAAGATGCCTGAAGGGAGCGTGGGTTCGTCGGGGCGCTGGCGCCCCCGCGCGATGTCGAAAACCCGAAGGGTTACCCCGTGTGTCCCTGGAAATGTTTTGAAACCAACTGTGTTTTTTTAGGTTGTTCCTGGAGGCCCCCTGCTGGGGGGTTCGTTTCGGCGGTGCGTCCGGGGCCCCACCAAGGCTGACATGTGTAGTTTTACATTGGTTTGGGGGCGATGTGCAGGGACACGCGGGGAGAACGCTCGGGTTTTCATTGGTGTCCAGAGGTGTCCCCGCGGGAACATCCTGGGTGAGATACACAAGGGTGATCGAGGGGATGATTATGCACGTGAGGATGACGAAGATGATGACGATGGTGATAGTGGTGATGGTGATGCTGATGAGGCTGATGAGCTTGCAGAGGGCGAGCACAACATATAAATTCCTGGAACTTCGGAGTTGAATGATGACAATACTGACGATGATGACGATGACGACGACGGCGGCGGCGGCGGGGGGGGCGGCGTTGGCGGCGGTGGCGGCGACGACGACGCGGTGGCGGCAGGGAACGGCGGTGGCGGCGGCCGCGGCGCTGATGGCGGCGGCAGTGACGACGCGTTTGCGCGCCCGAATCGTCGAAGCGCTCCAGCAGCTCGGCCCCGGCGCCCGGCACCCTCGACAGGCGCATGGCATGCACCAGGGAACGCTGCAGGCTCGCCATCCCTTCGGCGTCTCGGGGTTCTCTTGAAGCCCTCCAGGGGCCCGTTTGGGCAATCTCGGGCGCCTCCTGGGCAGTCTTGGTGCGTCCAAGTCTCTTCGGGGGCTGTGTTGGGAGGCTCTTCGGCCGTCATCTTCAGGCGTTTTCGGAAGGCCTGGGGACCTCTCGGGCTCTATGTTTGGCTTCCTGGGGGCCTCTTGGGGCCTTCTTTGGCCGTCTTGGATGCCAGTTGGCGTGTTTTGGGGCCGTCGGGGGCTGTCTTGAGGGCCTCTGGGGCCGTCTTGGGCGCCTCTGGGACCGTATTGAGACCGTCTTGGGGCCGTCTTGGGCCGTCTTGGGCCGCTCTTGGGGCTGTCTGGGCTGCCGCTTGGGCAGCCATAGGCGCCTCAGGAGCCGTCCTGGGGCCGTCTTGGGCTGTCTGGGGGCTCTAATGGGGGCTTCCAGAGACATCTTCAGGCGATATTGGGAGCCTTGATGGCCAGCTTGGACCCTTTGAACACTATAAGCTCGGGAATTGCAAACATGTGCGTTTCCCTTAGATGTTGGGACGATTTTTCCTTGTTCGGGCTCTCTTGGGGCTCGTCTTGGATCCCTCTTGAGCGTCTTGGGAGGCCTCCTGTGCCGTGGGGAGGCTATCTTGGGCGTCTTGGAGCGCTCTTGGACCTTCTCGGAGGCCCTCTTGGGCCGTCTTGGGGCCCTCCCGGAGCGTCTCGGAACGCTCTTGGGCCATCTTGGAGCGTCTCGGAGCGCGCCGGGGCCAGCTGGGGCTCGCAGGGGCCGCCTGGGGCGCCTGCTACGCTTTTTTTGTCCGAGTCGCCGTCTTCGCGCGCGCGGGTCCCTGCATTGTAATCTAGATGACGTTGGGCTCCAGCTTCGCCTTCCGCATCTCGCTCAGCAGCGCCAGAGCCCGCTGCCACAGCTCGCCCTTCTCGCACGCGCTGATCCCAGCGCTGTAGCTGACTAGGGCAGACCTGTGGACTCCGTCCACGACATCTGCTCGACGTGGCGAGGGGTCTCTGGGCAAGCGCGGGGGGGTGCGGCTACAGGGCCGAAAGGCAGTCATGATGGCCTCGGGCTCCAGCTTGGCGTTCCACATCTCGCAGTGCAGCGCCAGGCCCCGCTGGTCGTAAGGGGGCCTCGCGGGGAGGAAGGGGGGCGCATGATAACATGCGGAGTCGTGGAGGTGCGTCAGGAGGTTGCAACTCGTTGTTTTTGCTCTTCTCTCTTGTTTCGAAGGTGTTGTTTCGCTCCTCCTGTTCGTATCGTTTTCTCCTTCCTTGCTCCTCCCGCTTCTCCTTCTGCTCCTCCTCCGGTCCTCCTCCCCCTCCTCCTCCTGCCCCTGTTTCTCCTTTCCCTCCTTCTCCTCTTCCTCCCCGCCCTCCTCCTCCTCCGCGCTGGCATGAAACGCGGCGAGGGCCAGGATGGCTGGATGCCCGCCAGCCGGAGGGTTGAAAAGGGGGGCCTTGGCCAGCGCCGGTATGGGTTGCTCTTTGCGGGCGGCGCCCGCGGGAGCGGGTTGCATTGGTTCTGGGCAGTGGGTGTAAAATCAGGTTGCAGCAGAGACACGTGGTGGAGATTCTCTTTCGAGGCAGACTCTATGGCATTCGGCATGCTGCTGCCGCGGATGCGACGCGGTGCTGGCGCCACGCGAGCTCGCAGAGAGCAGGGGCAAGGAGTGGGCGGATCCATGCATAGGGGCCGGAAATTTGGTAAATGGAGGGGGCGCAAAGGCGCGGTCGTGCTCGGGGCTTCGGGCCGAAGAAGTAGAGCCTTTCATCCCGGGGGCGGCGGGGCTGGAGGCGCCATGGCTGTGAAGTATGTTTATCGACTGGCAATGCACGACGGCAGCTTCTCTCAGAGCATCTGTTGCGCTGCCTGGGCGCTCGCGGCCTTGAGCTCGGCGCGCGGCGTCTTTTGGGCACCGATCTGCAGTGGGCGCGCTACGCTGGTGTAGCCTGCGGCGACGATAGAAGCGTCAGAGGGCGAGAACGGGCGTGGAAGCAGGAGAGGATGCAAGCGGAGAGGGCGCCGCACGGCCGAGTAAGAAAATTGGCGCGCCAACGGAAACGAGGTCAGAGCTGCCCTGGAGATTCAGTCCTCCTCAGAATTTGTTTATGAAGATCTCGTGCTTGGCTTTGATGAGCTGGAAGAGGTCGTGTACCGGGCCCTCTTCAGGGATGTCGTCCTCATCCACAGAGAGGTGCAACATCACGTCGCGGAGAACGGTGCTGCCGAAGATGCTCATGATGAGCTCCACGTTCCCCTCCTTGGTGAGATCCGCTTGGTTATCTTGCATGACCCGCAAGTTTGGCTTGGAGGCGTCGTCAACGCGCGGGATCCTGACGCTGTCGAAGCGGCCGCGGTAGTTGAACGTGCGCCCGTCGAACGCGAAGATGGCGGTGCTCTCGTCGGGGATCTGGACGGTCACGGAGACGATCCTGGTCGACCCCGGAGGAGCGGCGTTGAAAGGCAACACGGGCAGGTCCCGCGTCGGTGGGTCGAGGGTGGTCGAAATGGCTGAGTCCGACGTGTTGTACGTTGCCAAATCCACGTTCATGAATGGCGAGATGCGCACCTTGACGTCGCGGAGTTGGGGCCATGGTTTCTTGCCTGGCGGGTCTGAGGTGACACGGTGCTTGATGTACGTGTCGAATAAGTTCAGGAAGTTAATGACAGCAGCGTCGTCCCCGGCGACCCAGAACATCACCGCCCCGTCCTGGAGCGGGAGGTCTTCTGGGTTCTCCTTGGCCTTCGTGAACGCGAGGGAAATGTCCATGTCATGCTGCAATTCCGCCAAGTCCGCCGGCATGGTACTGTCGGCCTTGTGGAGCTTCGCCAAGCAGGAATTGAACCCGACGACCATGCCGCTGAGGATGCTCGGGGACGCGTCGTGCTGGACACGGATTCCATAAAGGTTCTCGTCCGCCGGGAAGGTCTCCACGCAATCGGCAGCGCAAGTGGTGTAGCGCCAGACGGTCAACTGAACGATTGCGTTTGCTGGCTTCGCAGACATCGGCGGTGGAGGTGCTGCTGCCGCCGCTGCCTTGCTTAGCGCGCTGAGGTCCAAGGTGCGTTTGCGTCCAGCGGGTTCGCTCTTCGGAGCTGGGCTGGCAGCTGCGGCGCTCCCAGCTGCGGTGCCAGTCTTCTGCTTCTTGAGCGGCGAGAAGCCCATGGCGTTTGCCTCGGCAGGACTCCTGGCGCGTCGGCGCGTTCCCCGAAACAGTGCTAAGCTGAAGCGGGAATGGCTTCGGAGGAGAGAGCAGGTAGGAGACAGCTAGGACGATCTGAGGAGTCGGGTCCTGGATCCCCCCCGAGGTCCATGCGATCGATTTTGTCACCCCTGGTGCGGTTCTGAAGGCCACTGGCCTGAAAAGGGGTCCAGAAACGGGTTCAAACTGAACACGAGACATCCGCCGAGATATTTTGGCGAAGCGCCTGCTGTGATCTGGTGCAGTGCAGGCCTGAAAATCTCGATCAGAGCCTGTAGTTGCCTCCAAGACTACTCCTCTTCATCCTCCTCGCTCTCCTCCCCCTGCTCCTCCTCCTCCTCCTTCTCCTTCTCCTGCTTCCTCTCTGGCGCTTCATGACTGAAAGAGACTCAACATACTTCAAGATCGCTCCCAAGATGCCCAAGAGGCTTGACGACCGCCCTACAACGTGTCCGACTGAAAGTAACACAAGACGTCCGCCGGGATACTCCGGCCAAGCGTTCGGTGTGAAATGTTGCAGTTCTTGCTTAAATTTCTCGAACAGAACCTGCAGTTGCCCCTGGGACTACCCCTCTTCATCCATTTTACTCTCCTCACCCTCCTCCTTGTCATCCGCGTATTCGCCATCTGCCTCATGGCTCACGATAGCCTGAGATACCTCGAGATCGCCCTCAAGAGATCCCAACAGGCTCGAAGACCGCCCCAAGAAGAGGTCATAAAAAGCACCCAACGGGTGCTCCAATAGGGCGGTGCGTTGTAGCACCCGTGGGCGCTCTGTGGGGAAGGCTCCGGAGTGCCGCAAGAGGGCCGCCAGGCGCTTCATAGCTCCCAAGACAGCCCCAAGAGAGCTCCGAATACGGCTCAAACGCAAGCCAACAGGGGCCTCAGAAGAACTTATCAAGGGCACCCGACGGGTGCTACAATAGAGGGGTGCGTTGTAGCACCCGTGGGGGCCCCTTTGGGTAGGCTCCAGAATGGGGCAAGAGAGCTCCTGGACGCCCCGTGGCTCCCAAGAGAGCCTCAAGAGAGCTCCAAGATGGCTCAAACACAAGCGTACAAGGGGCCTCAGAAGAGCTCATAAAGGGTACCCGACGGGTGCTACAACAGGGGGCTGCGTTGTAGTGTTCTCGGGGGCTCCTTGGAGGCGTTGGTGGGCAGGCTCCCGAATGCCGCAAGAGGGCCTCCGGGCGCTCCATTGCTCCCAAGAGAGCTCCAAGAGAGCTCCCAAGACGGCTTAAACACAAGCTCACAGGGTTCCCCGAAGAGCTTACAAAGGGCACCCGACGGGTGCTACAATTGGGGGGTGCATTGTAGCACCCGTGGGGGCTCCGTGGGGAAGGCTCCGGAGTGCCGCAAGAGGGCCGCAAGGCGCCCCATAGCTCCCAAGACAGCCCCAAGAGAGCTCCGAATACGGCTCAAACACAAGCCAACAGGGGCCTGTCCTCCTCCTCCTCCCTCTCCTCCTCCTCTTCCTCCTCCTCCTCCTCCTCCTCCTCCTCCTCCTCCTCCTCCTCCTTCTTCTCATCCGCTTATCCCTCATCCGCCTTATGGCCCCAGATAGCCCAAGATGCTTCAAAATCGCTCCCAACATGGCCCACCAGGCGCGTCTTTCCTGGCGTTCTCCACGAAGCTTGCGAGGTGAAGTTCTGCTGGCGCGGCGGAGGAGCCTCGGCGCGGGTACTTCCCTCCGTTAGCCTGCAGCCAAGAGCGGACGCTACGCAGGTTAGTCTCCCAAGAGTCAGCTCGCACGTTCCAAGTCCATGACGTCCAGGAGTCCAGACGAGCGACCCGGTCAGAGTCCAACGTGCCTAAGCGGTGCTGCTTTCGGGCTGTGTTAATCCAAACGGCGCAGAAGCGTTCCTCTGCAGAGGTGCTCGTACGCGAAGGCCATCGGCCGTGGTGGGCGTGCCACGCCTGGACGCGACGTAGGCTGGAGAGCCAGTCGGTGTGCACCCATGTCCATCCGGGAAGCGCCTCGAGCTGCGCGATGCGGGCGGCGGCCACAGGGACGCTACGTCCTGCGCCTGCTCGAGCACGCGCACGGGCGTTTCTGATGAACGTCAGAAGTCGGAGCTCTGCGGGATCTTTGCTGCCAGGCTGCGGGTACTTGCCGCCCTTGGAAGACAGCCACTCGCGGAGGTGTTGGAGAGTGTGGTCCCAGGCGTCTACCTTCGTGTTCCACGTCCAGCCGGGTATCGCCTCGACGACCGCGGCTTGGTCGTTCGTTAGAGAGGAGCGGCGATGACGCACGTGGGTCACCCAGGCGGCCAGGGCCCCTTCACGCCCTCGCGCGAGTCGTCGAGGAAGGCGCCCCCTCGAGCGTGACCAAGCGGCAAGCTGCTGCGCCTGTTGCTGGAAGCTGCGCCGGCGAGCACTGGATGATGCATGTGCGCTCGGGCGGCGGCGCATGGGCATGGCGGCTGGGTCGGTTCCGCGAGGCTGCCATGCAAGCAGGCTTGGACCAAACGGGCGACGTCCTCATGGCGACTGGGACGCCCTGAACCAGCCCTGGGGGAGTCGTTGGGACATCTGGGGACCCCCCGCGACCGCGCATCGAAGGAGTTGGAGCGCACGGTTGTCGTCGTCGCCGCTGTCGCCGTCGCCTTGCTGCCGCCGCCGGCACCAGAACAGCCACGTTGGCCAAGGGAGTAGAGGAGGGGTGCCTCTTGGGTGGCACCCTCCCGGGCCGTCTTGGGTGCCTCTTGGGTGGCACCCTGCTGGCCTGACAGCTCGTGGCATGC